AGGCACTGCTACCGAAGAGCTCCGATCAATGGCGCCGGGACGCACCGTCACCTGGAGTGGAGCACCCACAGGGACAGCACTCGAAGAAGAATCCTACATTCTCGCCCATCCATCCAAATTGCCACCCCTTTCTTCCTGCAAGTTGTCTTCATGGATGGCTTCAAAATCCTAACAGTAAAACACCCACACAACTAGACCCAGACCTGGATGCTGATGAGGTTGGCCACTGCATTCATATTGCTAGTGGCCTTCACAACATCACAGTTTGGGCAACAGGAAAAAGATAACAGCTGTAAAGTCAAACCAGGGTAGAGTGGCAGAGCCCCATTCAATGAAATGAACAATCTCAAGCATGGGAAACAGTGAACTCTAGTATATAATACCTAGTACATTCGTCTCCACTGGTCTCTCATGCACCTTGGTGAAAAGTGACCGATCTCGGCATCAAAACTTCCAGGCCCTCCAGGGAACTCAGAAATCCCACTGTTTAGTGAACTTCAGTGCAGAATTCTCTGCTTATTTTAGTCCTGTGTAACTGTAGACAGCAATCAATGGATTACTGGGTGAGAGGTATTGCACAGAAAAAGGCTAGATTTTGTATGACTCTGAATTATTTAATCCTTTCCCATGGATTCTAGAAGAAAAAATGGCACACAGGTGCTCAGAAGAGAGAGAGAGATGCCACAAGCCTACCCAGGATCATAAAAAGAAGTGATTTGGGAGTGACCGCTAGACTGTCTCTTGAGATCTCTAATATAAACATCAGCTGGGAGAAGAGTCAAACCAAGGACAACTTGCAATTTAACCTCTTCTCCCAGCAATGAGTCCAGACAGCCCACCTGATTGTCGGTGGGCAGGTGGGACTTCCCAGGGAAAAAGGGTTTGACTTAAGGAGCCTGCTAGAAGAAGCAGAAAATTTAGAGCAACATCTTTTTCCTGAACATCTTACTAAGAGCACATCTCACTGCTTCCCAACTATCTCAACTCTACATATAAAATGGTAGGGACTGAATGAGCTGTTACCACTCCAGAAAGAGATCTTGGAGTCATTATGGATAGTTCTCTGGAAACATCCACTCAATGTGCAGTGGCAGTCAAAAAAGCAAACAGAATGTTGGGAATCATTAAGAAAGGGAGAGATAATAAGACAGAAAATATCACATTACCTCTATATAAATCCATGGTACACCCACATCTTGAATACTGCGTGAAGATGTGGTCGCCCCATCTCAAAAAAGATATATTATATATCTTATATATTGGAATTGGAAAAGATTCAGAAAAGGGCAACAAAAATGATTAGTGGTATTGAACGGCTTCCGTATGAGGAGAGAGTAATAAAACTGGGACTTTTCAGCTTGGAAAAGAGACGACTAAGGTGGGATATGCTAGAGGTCTATAAAATCATAACTGGTGTGGCGAAAGTAAATAAGGAAGTGTTATTTACTCCTTCTCATAAAAACAAGAACTAGGGGTCACCAAATGAAATTAATAGGCAGCAGATTTAAAACAAACAAAAGGAAGTATTTTTTCACACAATCCACAGTCAACCTGTGGAACTCTTTGCCAGACGATGTTGTGAAGGCCAAGACTATAACAGGGTTCAAAAAAGAACTAGATAAGTTCATGGAAGATAGGTCCATCAGTGGCTATTAGCCAGGATGGGCAGGGATGGTGTTCCTAGCCTGTTTGCCAGAAGCTTTGAATGGTGACAGGGGATAGATCATTGATGATTATCTGTTCTGTTCATTCCCTCTGGAGCACCTGGCATTGGCCACTGTCGGTAGACAGGATACTAGCCTAGATGGACCTTTGGTCTGACCCAGTATGGCCATTCTTATGTTCTTATGCGTCTTCCAAGCTCAAAACTCACCTCTAGCCTATACTTCTGAACAGTGTCCACTGCATACCAGAGAACTGCGATTGCTCCTGACAGCCCTGCAAAAGAAAGCAGGCATTACCCCCTGGAGAAAAGGTGACACCCCAATAGATGCTAGGCACTTTAACATGGGATATTTCTCCAAAACGTAGGGGAAAACTAGCACTGAACCTGTAAGAGGGTGTGCTTACTCTTTAAGGCAGGCTGTGGGCCCAGCACTGTCCTGGTACTGGTTTCAGCCCACAATACGTGGAATTCTGGATATTGTTGTTCCCAGGTGTGACGAAGTGGGAATGTTCTTAATGTTTTCTCTGAATACTGTGTGTGTGCCTCAGTTTCCCCCTATGCAGTTCTTAAGTATCTAGGTGGTGGGATAAGGGTACGTGATTTTTGCAGAGCCCTAGAGGGCCCGTGTGATGGTGTCTGCACAGAGAATGGCCGACGCTCTGTCTCCTGGCAACTGATGGCCTGGGCCCCTCCTCTGCAAAGGTGCCAACTGAAGGTGTGGGAGAACAAAGAGATTAGGTGACCTCCTGGCCCGGGAAAGAGACAAAGGCCAGAGGAGGGGCTGGAGAGTTTCAGTTTGGAGCTGGCTGGGAAAAGAGAGGGTGGCCCAGACCCGGAGTCTGGCCTCTCTGGCCCCAAGACGAACCTGACTTAGGGGTCCTGTTTCTGTACCTACAAGCTCTGTTTCAGACTGTGTTCCTATCGTGTAATAAACCTTCTGTTTTACTGGCTGGCAGAGAGTCGTGTCTGACTGTGGAATTGGGGTGCAGGGCCCTCTGGCTTCCCTAGGAGCCCCGCCTGTGCGGACTCGCTGTGGGAAGTGCACGGTGTGGAAGAGGATGTTGAATGCTCCGAGCTCAGACCCAGGAAGGTGGAAGCTGTGTGAGCTTCTTGCCCTGCTCACAGAGAGGAGGCTTCCCCAGAGCCCTGACTGGCTTCGTAGGGAGCAGTTCCAGAGCATCGCCTGGTGATTCCGTGACACCAGGGCTGATGGGTGTTAAAAACGGTCACAGGTAGGAAGGCTGGGAAGGAGTGTTAGGGGATGGAAGCAGCAGGGAGAGACCGGGGAAAGGAGCAAGAGCTGTTGTGGGTCAATCTACAGAGAGAGAGAAAGACTAGGAAAGGGGGAGGAGAGCTGGATCTCTCCAGTCTAGAGCCCAGGAAAGCCTAGGAAAAGCCTTTTTAAAAAGCCAGTGACAAGGCCTGGGAAGAGGCCTAAAAAGACATCAGAGACCTGGATAATGTACCCGTGGAGGGGGCATTATTTTGCCTAAACAGCCAAGTTCCAAGTGTAATGTAGTCACTATGACACCAAAGGGTTAATAATATATAATTCAATCCTACGACCAGTGCTTAATTTGTAATGAAAGAGGTGCCAGGGTTCAAGCAATTTTTTTTACTTTCATAACTGACCCGGCCAGCCCAGAGGTGCCGGGGCTCTGAACTGCCAGGCTCAAAGGTGCCGGGGCTCTGACCTGCTGGGCCCAGAGGTGCCGGGGCTCAGCCCCGGGAAGCCCTGCCTATCACTAATTAAGCCCTGCCTATCACTAATCCTCCAGTTATAGAAATTAGTGGTGCTGAGGAATCAAAAGCAGAACCTCAGTGGCACTGTAGTAGGGTTACCATATATCGACATTGCCTTTTTTTGATCCCCCATCCTCTGTCCAGGAGGTGTTTTCAGATAAGAGGCAAAGTCCGGGATTTTTGTGGAGCAGATGTTGCAGCTCAGAAAGAGCCATCTCCACGCCCAGATTGGTCCCTTACCTGCAGCCGCCAGATCCCACCCTCCCGGCCCAGCTCGCCAGGTGAGTGGAGCCCCCAAGCGCCTCTCAGCGGGGCCCCCTGTCCTGCCACAGGGCTCAGCGTGTGTGTGTGTGTGTGTGTGTGTGTGTGTGTGTGTGTGTGTGTGTGTGTG